AGTAGGAGCCGTCCTCCAACAACACGGTGGTGGGCAATCGCAACCCCTTGGGTTCTTCTCCAAGCGCCTGCAGCCAGCGCAATTCCGCTGCAGCACGTTTGGCAGAGAACTGCTCGTCATTTACCTAGCCATTCGCCACTTCCGGCACACACTCGAAGACCGCACTTTCACGGTCTACACTGACCACAAGCCCCTCATCTTCGTCTCCAAATCTGCTTGCGACAAATATTCACCAGGGGAAACAAAATACTTAGACTCCCGGTATCCGTGCGTCTTTGAAACTGGTCACCGAACGTTTGTACGGCCACGCGTAAACAAAGATGTTCGTACCTTTGCTCGCGTCGGCCTTCAATGTCAGCGCTCCAAAATACATTGTCACACCCACAGTCCTCTTGGTTCATTTCCCGCCCCGGACTCACTGTTCTCGCATGTACACTTAGACCTAGTAGGCCCCTTGCCTCCTTCACGCGGATTCGTATACATTCTTACATGTGTCGACCGCTTCACCAGATGACCAGAAACCATTCCTGTAACAAACTGAACAGCTGTGACTGTTATCCAGTCCTTCTTATACCGGTGGGTCTGGCACTACGGATGCTCATCCACCATCACAACTGACCGAGGAAAGTCCATCGAATCTTCACAATTCGATACGTTTTGCAAGTTTTTAGGCTGCCTCAGCATTCATGCCACAGCGTATCACCCAGCAACCAATGGTTTGATTGTACGCTTCCATAGACATCTAAAAGCATCGTCCTGCATTTCCACCGGCCCTAGCTGGTGCTGAAACATTTCGCTCGTACTTCTAGGCATTGGTAGCAACATTGAAGCTGACTTGCAATGTGCACCAGCAGAGCTGGTTTGCGGCATAACGCTCAAGTTGCCAGCAGAATACATTTCCCCTTCCGCATCCTCGGGTATGTTTCCGCCTAACTTGCGTCTTCCCTAGCTTAACGAACGCGTGCACCAGGCCCGACTTCACCCGTGAGCAGAGTAGAGATGTGCGAATGCACAGCGGATTCTCTACCTGCTCTCACATCTTCCTTCGAACCGACGCAGTGTGGCGCCCTCTCCATCGTCTCTACACTGGCCCTTTCATAGTTCTGCAACGGACTTCGTAACATTTCACTTTAGACCAGAATGGTCACCGAACAACGTTGTCCATCGACTGCCTCAAAGTGGCTTTCTTTGACGAACCACTTGCAACCCATCCTGATGTTATCGCACAAGCACCTGCACCTGCGTTGACTTCCTAAGCACTGGAGATCCCGAAACTCTTCGTTCCAATTGACCCTCAGCCTAACCCGCCTCAACCCCAGGCAGTGGACCGACGCTGTAGACAGGTCAAACGTCCGGCCTGTTTTACAGACTGTAAACGTTTGCTATTTCCATTAACACGCTCTTTTCGTCTTTAGTGCTACTTGTGCTTCTCGTTCACAAACATTTTGCAAAATCGACACAACCAAAACATTTTGAAAACTTAACCAGCCTATTTGCTTTTATCATGCATGCCATGTTCCCTCTCTGGTATCAAGCCACTTCCCCTGACCCTTGCCCACCCATCTGAGTTCCACCTTCTAGAAACGCAACCGCCGGAATTGCCAAGGTAACTCTCGAGTGACTCGTCAACCGGCTCAACACAATTCCCGGGTGACTCGCCAGCCGACCCAAGGTCCCTTTCTTGACCCAAGGAAAAGTCAGTCAACCTCGACTGCGGACGGTCACGAAAGGGTTAGTCCCTAAAGGTATGGCTAGTCGTTGCCCACCAGGACGCCGGATTTCTTCGTGGGACGAGGACGCGCGGGTTTCTTCATGGGACGAGGACCGTGGACTGAAGTGTGGTGGGGGGAGTGACACCTCCCAAGCGCACCATCGGGTCTGCAGCAGTGGGAATGTCCTGTCGACTTTTTTCTGGACTAGCCAGTATTTTTGCAGTCCGACCAGCCCGCCCCGACGACCCACCAATGATGCTCTCTGGTCCACCATCATAAATAAGTAATAACAAAAGCCTGGACCCAACGAACTATACTACACACCCCATATTGGAAGCCCTTGTTCAAGCTCATGCAATTGTTCGCACACATTCTAACCTCCCATTTTCCCCACTAACAGCTCCATCGAACGCTTCCACCCTTCAGCCTTCTAGGGGGAGGCTCTTGTAGTGTCTTGGAAAGCACGCTCTGTCAGTAATTTGCAACGTTGGATGTTACCGTTGTTTTAACCTACAAAACGTCCACTTGTTTTAAGGATGGCACTTCCGTGGACACAAATTGTTTTGGTGAGTATCTTGCTGTACCGTTTCTCGCTCCGGTTGATTCGCTTCCTATTTTTGTAGCCTGCACAATGCACATTAAGTGCAATCGCCCCCAACTATTATACTGTCCCGTATTTGACACCGCTCTTACGTGTCCTTGATTACCGAATAGTATCCTAGGCGCCACCCAACAACACTCAAGAGTGCCGCAGTTTATGTTGTAAATTCTAAGGAGGCAAGTGCACTAATCGGTGGTTTTTGTACGTAATGCTTGTGGAAACATTAACAGCTGGATTTTGGGGAGGGATTTAGCGTTTGGAGGTCAGAAGGTGGTTCCAACGGCATTGTTGGCAAGCGTTGTGTCCACTCAGTTTCAGTAGGGTAACTCCAAGGTTGGCGTAGTGGTTGCACTTCAACAGGTGACAACATACCTGAGTGGAGCCAAGTGCTATTTGACAGACCACCGTATAACCAGAGTGCTCATGAATTTTCCTGGACACACGGGGTGATTAAGACGAATGGCAGTGTTTTCGGGCGGGCAACACCCAAGTTCCATCTGGTAGACAAGTATGTGGTCATCAGGCAACCGGAGTCAGAGTTCACTAGACGCTCCGAGTACTTTCAGCATTTTGCTGATATAAAATGTAATGCAGCTCTTTAAGATATTTTTTAAAGGTTGCGGAGTCTTTAAGACAATGCTTTCGTACTTTTGTCTAGGCTATCGGTTTAGGAAATCAGATCCAACATGAGAGTATGCGCAAATAATGAGCAACACGGGTTAGCCAGAAGAGACGAGACTCCCGCTTGCAGTCCTTTAGAAAAAAATATTTTTATTTGACCTGTTTTTGACATCCAGTGTGATGCATTTCTTGCACGTCGAGGGCGCTTTTCTAGGAAGTGTCTGCAGTTCGTTTGTACCGATGCTGTAAATGTAAGTACGTCGGTGCTTTATCTAAACAACTTGACACTCCTATAAGCACTTGCAAGTTTACTTCGCTAAACTAGGTGAATTTGCTAATCTGCTGAATGGTTATACTACAGAACCACGAGCGAAGAGTCGGAACTTGGAATTGGCCGCTATCAGGAGGTCGTTTTTGAAACCTAGGCCGGGTCTTATTAATAACTAGCACACTAACATGTGGAGTTCATCGACCGGGCACTTAGGTACCAAATCCAGATTCCATCGTTCTGAAATCTGTGTAAGATAATGCGGTGCTCATAGTGACCGAATGCTTTCGACGATTCTGTAATGGTAGTGTCAACCCCTATTTTAGTAACAGGAGACTCAGTCATTTTGTACGCATTCCCAACGGGATAGTAATGTATGGCAAGCTCTATTGAGACATGTTCTGCTTCGGCAGAATAATTATGAAACCTCTCAATCACCTCGTAGTATTTAAAGGCATAGGAAGGTGAGCTACCAGGTGTTAAATATTAAGTTCAGTGCGATTAACTTTTTGTAAATAGGAGTTAACCTATCGATGCTGCCACTTACTAGGAATTTGTATCGTTTCTCGGAATCATCGAGACAAGCGATATGGTGGTTCAGACGCCTTATTATAACCCCCTCCAGTGTTTATAGGCGCATGTATTCCGCAGTAAGAAGGACCATGTGCACATATCAGCCTTTTCACTGCATAAACGAACGTACGCGCACTAGCTAATCTCTGGAGTGGTGTATCCAACGGTGAGAGAGATAGTAGACGATAGCGTGCTGTAGAAGATAGAGGGAATTCCTTGTTGGACAGTGTTAGACACTACTGATGTGGTGCGTACTTGTTCAGATGTTGTAAGTAGATCACCGACAGTGTACTATTACTTGAACTTACGTAGGCTTGCGTTCGTTCTCTCGATGCCATTCATTTAAATCGTAAAACCAGATTACTTTTGGATTTCATTTATTTTCGTCACAAGAATTGTGAAGCTGGTTAAACATATTCGGTTACTTTCAACCAAAGTATATAATTTAATTACAGTTCACGATTTATCTGATCATGCCCCTGTGGCGTGCCTCGTACAGCCGATAATAAAATATATATAGTTCCTTATTTATAAAATGGACCACCTTAATCGCTGCTACAGTTCTCTCCTAGGTTTCAGTAAGAATGCATTACACCTTTAAATGGATTTGATTTTGTTTCGTGGAATGCACATGATATGCTTTGTCGGCTGTCAACACTTCGGCCTACAAACTCTCTCGCCCTTGTTCAAACTCCCTGGTTATAACGACCAAAAGCTGAGAATCAAGACATCTGACGCGGTGCGTTTTAGCCAGACGTCTTTGGAATGACGCTACCGGGTTGCATCCTTAATGGTTGTCACATCGGCTAAGGAGGAACAAGTTTGAAGGTATCCACTTGACGTTTGGATGGCAACAAGCGACCTCAGGGCCACGATTTACTTTGAAAGCAGGCTCGAATTTCGAGTGTTTCGATGTTTCTCCTCCTAATACCGTAATGTGTTATTAGTTTTTTCGCTTAATCACAAAACTCGGTGGTCTAGATGTGAAAATAATCTGACTTAAATTCACGCTTTTAGTTTCGTGTTCCATCTCTAGCCCTCTCTAACTCAGAAGCTTTTAATAGTCAACCAGAGTAAAGTAACATCAGGAAACGTGACATCTAATTATTCAATTTTATTTCGGCTTCCCATTCATGTTACACAAGCAGGTCGCCCACTTCACCTCAGTTAATTAACCCAACAAAATTGCAAGATATAACCAAACCTTTTAGTTCTTACACTAAACGAATAGGAAGAGAATGGTAAACAAGTGATAGTTTATCTTACTTTCAGGTGGGCTGAATGGTGTCAACCACTCCTTTGATGCTTCCATAGCAGCGCTGATTTTCATCAATACTTTGGCAAACACCGATGACCAATCGCTTGAAAACTTTGGATAATAGTTTTCACCAAGTTCATGTAACACCTCCGAAGACAACGTCATCTTCTGGCACCACGCGTTGACCAAGGGATCCAGGTGAATTGTTTGACTTGCTGACAATTGCTGAAGCACAGCTTGCCTTTGTAAACAAGACTGAGGTTGATGGGAAATAGCAAAATAAGGTGGTTTACAATAACACCTAATATGTAACACGAAAAGGAATATACATAACACACTAGCAAACAAAACCATGGTTCTTTAGACGTTTTCGACAACTTAACACTTCTTTTAACAAACGTTTTCCGGGTGTACCTATTTAATGTGTTCACCAACAGGTGAACCGTGGAGCAGACTCTTGAACCATTAAGTATTGATAATGCTTTGGTTGGAAGGTGGAGTAGTGACGTCACATTAGCATTGATAAATGCTTAGTTTGATCGTTTATGCACGCACTTTTACCTGTTTCCGTTTTTCGGCCTTGGCACATTCACAACACAACATTTTAAATAGTTTATTTTATCCGAAACATTTCATAAGAATTGTATCCCTTAGTCAGTCCATTATACACGCATCTAAAATGTACTTTGGTTGTATAGCCCTCAGGTGTTATGTAGTCACAGAACGATGGAGCTAAGCGTTGATTAGCCCAGGTTAGTGTTAAGTTTGTACCCTTTGTTATACTCCATATGTATCATGTTTTTAACAATTTCGTTACCTGCCATTTGTGTGTGTCACTTGTTTAAAGTTAAGGATTTTGAGTACACAACACCGAACGTGTTCGTGGCTTGCTGACTTTCCCTGGTTATGTCTTTGTGTGCGCTGCTGTCTCCTCTTTCCCAGCAATCGGATACAGAGCTTCAAATCATCAGTCGGCTTCTAACAGACGATAACCGAAGAAGTATTTTTCGACGGTCAGGCTTTGGTTTATGGTGTATTTTACCTCTGGACTCAATCTTTTCGCTTAAGGGTCCACTGCAACTTCTACTTGGGACACTTTGTGAAACGTAATCAAGATCAACAATCTGGTTTGGCACGCCGTGCTGCTCGGCCACTAAAGCTATCATGGCATCAAGTAAATCAGGCCAAATTGTGGGGGTATTCAGTGTTACTGGTTTCCAAATTTCACTAATTCGTATTGGGTGAAAGTCACAGAATAGGAAGTGGGTATGCACAAGGCACACAAATTACCACATAGATAAGCCTGTACGGCATACACTGTAGCCATGCGATCCGTTTGGGTGCTGGCAGCAAACACACACCACCGATGATAACTGCGACCTACTACCCGAAAGTCTTGAGCTATGCACAATATGGGCTTCGACCTGGAAGCCAAGTGAGACCATCACTGGCCAGCTCAATCGCCGGCGTCTTTATTTCATCCTACCAAACCAATGTTTATTCACAGTAACCCCGCTTTTTACTATGAGGCAAAATAAGGCCATCCTATGTAATCAGTGAAGATGCAGGTATTTCAGCGCTGGTTATACATCTAATGGCCTAGCATACTTAACACTGCCTATTGACCGACGGTGCACACAATCCTTGAGGGTACGACGATACCATCAGACACCAACATTTATGTATTGACAATGATGATAAAAGATCTAATGTGTGGCAACACGAAACCTTTCCAGTTTTCTTGAGTAACTCGCATCTTCATACTTTGATGTTCTTTTCTCTAGTTTACTTCATGCATTTGTATTAATTTCTTATTTCGAGTGAACTTCCTATTTCTGTACCTTTGATTTCTCTTCCTATCCTTTGCTCACTTTATGCGACTGCCACAACTGGGAATGCTAGGGCATGAAAAGTGGGTATTAACTGCATGGCCAGGGTGCCATACGGGTGTTCCGTTTTAGATCCATCAAGGACTCTCAGCACTTCAAAAATTCCTGGCTCAACGACTAACTCAAGATGGAACACTCACGGGATTCTCCCATCGTTCCAGTCCAACTCGAACTTGAACTTGTGTCATTTGTGCACTAGATCGTAGTGCTCAAGTCTCACCTCCATAGAGTAGAATGACTCTCCTCGTGGCCTAGTTTAGGCAGCCACTCAGATCCACAGATATCCTAAGCTAATGAGGCGGATGGAGCAGCTTAGAAACTAGTTCTGGTTTTGACAATATGTTGACGAACTTCTACAGTTACACGCCCAGTGCTGAATATCAGCTTTTAAGATAGATTACTCAATGAAATATTTCCAGTTGCTCGTCGCTATGGCTTTAAGAGTCATCAGGTGGCTGGCGTTTTGCAACAATATATTGCACTTGAAAGGTGCAAATTGTCTGCGAAATGATGGGCTCCTCAGTGACCTTTATCCAGGGCTAACTGGGCCGCACCAGGATCGTCAAACATCAAAACTATCTTTTGTATAAACCAGAGCATGAAACAATGCGTTACCTTAACACATTTATTGAACGCAGAAAGAAAACCTAAGCCGCGAAATGTCAAGATTACAATTACTCTCATCAGCCTCGAATGCAATACAATTAGGAAGCAACAGAAGCAAATATGTGCAACCCAACTTAAAACAACATGATCCATCAAAACCAAGGCAATCTAACAGATTGCTTCAGTGCACTCAACACCAGGCGATACGAGGAACTAAGTAAAACCGCAGTGGTAGTCAGTCTTTTTGGGTTCTGATCGCGCCAGTTTCATCAGGCATAATATCAGGTCTGCGCTCTCGCGTACACACCCCACCGCCCAGTTGCGACTACTTCACAACACGCGAAGACTGCTTCTCAACGACCACACGAAATGTCTGTTAGGCAGTGCGGCCTCAAATGTAGTGTACCAGTTCAACTGCAGTTGTGGTGACGTTTAATTGGCAGGACTGACCGTAGGCTGATCGTTAGGATGGCGAACAACCCACCAACCTGGCTAAGCAAAACATTAGCGCAACAAAAAGGTGCGGATAAACTGGTGAAGAGCGGATCCGCCTTAGCCATTTCGAGACACCTCCTATAAACTCGTCATCACGTGGAACAAGCGATCACGTTCAAAATAAGGGTGCGCGATCAGAACCGTAAAAGACTGCCTAACACAAAATCTAAATGATCTCGAAACGTCGCCCAATGTTTTGTGCGCAGAAGCAAAGGAAGCACTCTGTTAAATAGAATGGTTGTAAACGATAGTTGTGTATAAAATCGCTTCCAAATGACCACTTCTAAAAAACAATTATACAGGGTTTAAACAGTTGTTTTTGATGAGTCCATCCTCAGACCTTTGCAGTCATATGGGTAAAAGAGCAATGTGCGTAACAGTGGTTTCGATCAGTTCACATGAAAGTACGTCACGTGCCAACCAGGGGCATAAACTAGCAGTCAACGTACACGATAAGCGCAAACTAGGGCAAAGATGTAGTCGAACGATTGCTCCTGTCCTCTGAATCGTCCATTTTATCTGGCCTGGGTAGCTTAAGAGCTTCGATCAGTTTCTTTTGTGAATATAAAAGTGGCGGCTATAACAGAATTCTGATCGCCTCCACTGCAGCGTTGGTGTAGAGGCGCAGGCCTTTTGACTGGAGTGGCGGAACCTTGTATAGTATTCGAATTGCGCGTATTGGGTCGACTTCATGCCCACTATCAACCAACTTAGCCATAACAGAGCTAGTTATAGCCCCGGTACCGCCGCGACGCAACCAGCGTGGAGGGCACTCATTAATGCACTTTGACATGTGTCGCACCGAACGACCGGTGTAAACAGCGCACAGGTGCATTCGTAATGATAAATGACCATAGAAGCTGTCAGCACCGGCAACTTTTCTTTGTTAGGAATATGAATGAGGGGTCCGTTGAGAAATCGCACTTGAGCTAGGCAGCTGGAATAGTTTACGTATTGGCTGTTGAAAGGCTTTTGGCTACATGTTCGGCGGCTGCGTCCCCTTTGAACGTAATCTTAGAACAAATTATTTATTCTCAGCTCTTGGAACCTGCACCGGGTCGGGTTTGTCTTGCATGTTCTTAAGAATGAATCGAGCAGGATACCCGTTTTCGTGCAGCGCACTTTGAATGGATCCCAACTCAGTATACAAGGCTCTCCAGAACTAATCTTGCGAGCTGTTGTGGTTAGACAGCGAATTAGGTTTCGTTTGTATCGTAAAGGAACGAAACAATGTAAGTTCGTATACTAACCACTCCAGGTTTTCTTCCTGTAGACTTGCCGTTGGATCGAGCCGTCCATTCTACGAGGTAACAATACATCAAGGAACGGCAACCGGTTGTTCGCTTCCTTCTCCCTGGTAAACTGCAATGCTGTGTGGGCCTAATTAAAGCGCCCAATAGCAGCGTCTAGGTCAATGGACTGATCGGACATAACAAATATGTCATCCATCTAACGATGGTAACGATCAAAAGTGGTGATCTCCGCATGTAGTTTGGTATTCTCTAGGTTCGCAATGAAGACAAAGACGACTATGTAAACAAGTTTGAAGGAATACTATTGGCTACAGTATTGAAGACTGGTAGCTCAGGTTGTTCAGCTGGCGGCTGAACTGTTCACTGAGCTTGGCAAGTTTGTTGCAAACGGTTCGTCACCAATCGAGGTGACATCAGCAGTGCGTAGTTGAGTGGCGTGCAGTGGCATAGTGGAGCCTTTGTGAGAGTGCGCTGAGCGTGGTATGTGTGCATTTTAATACAGCCATGGTTGCCCGTGGAGGCGAGCAATCCTATTGGTTGGGACTTCGATCTGCGTTCTGCTTGGTTGATGGGCAGATGACCTATGACCTTGAACCCTTGTGTTGCGTGAAATTTGCTCGCTTGCGCTTGTGCGCGAGCTTGCCGTAAGTTCTGGTTGTCTAGTCACAGGTTCCACCGGATTCAATCGAGCAAATTGGCGAGCGTTGACCCGTAGTGTTGCGTATACTGCGTCCAATTCGGTGTGTCGATTAAGTTAATTCGTTGTAGAGTACCAGGCTTCCACAAACACCCACGCGTATTTTGTACTTCTATGTGCTAGCATCTTTAAAGTCTCCAGATCGAAATGGTGGTCTATTTGCTCTTCATGCACAGCAACCAATGACTGCGGGTCAAAACTTCTGATGGCCGCCTTGTGTCTGGTGATTTGTGTACAAAGCTTCCTTCTAGTTTATCAGACGTAGTTTTTATCCCAGTCGCTGAATTTTATCTGTTAGATGACATTGCATTGGTCGGCTTGATTGACTTTTTCTTTGAGACTTGAGATCAATTTCCTTAGGGTGCACTCAGTTTGTGAGCTACAGAGATTTCATGTGGCTGCAGCAACCTTCCT